CCCCACCTCCTTTCATTATGATTCCCCATCCTGTAGCCCAGAGGCTTGCTGAGAAGAGTCAAGAGCCCCAGCTGTTCCCCACCATAAAGACACCATTCAGGGGACCCAAGTGGCCCTCCACTGAGAGGGTCTGTGGAAGAACTCAATTCCTTGTAAAGTTTCGACACATTATACCACAACATTAGCGCAAGTTCCATCACAGAAGAGGTGCAAGAGATGAGAAGCAGAGACGAAGATTTCACTAATGACTTTGCTTCCGTGGGACTTAATATGGTTCCCAGGCCCCCAAGATCTGGGCAATCTGCAGCGATCATCTGGCATGTAACAGGAAGAGGTCAGCAGAGGAAAACCTTCAGATCTTCTTTGAAAAAACAAAATGCAAATCAATCCTAATTAGGTAAGGAGACCACAGGCACTAGAGCTCATTGGTTATCATTTGTGTGTGAGAGTATCATTAAGTTACTCACAAGTCACTCCCTTTCCGCAATTTCACCCAACAAATGCTGGCCAAAACTGAACATTTCTTCACATCCTTAATTATCTTGTCCTCTGTAGACTGCGGGACTTTCAATCAGCAGCTCTCCAGGCAGACACTTTGGAGTCAACCACTTTTTCCAAGGTCTGTTCCTCCCTCCTTGGGGGATGCTTGTCTCTCCTCAAGTGTTGCTTTCTTTAATGCCACCATGTCATCAAGCCAGGACACCCAGGAAGAAGCAATGTGGAGAAGGGGGCTGGGATAGTGATTCGTGATTTTTAATTGATTAAATTTGTCCATTTCACGCATGTACATAGAGCATTTTGTTTCTCTTACCAAGCCTTCTTTTCTCTCCCTCCCACCTCTCTCATCCCCTCCTCCTCCCTACAGGTCCCTTTCTCCCATCCATGCCTTTCTATTTCCTTTTGTGACTCTGATAGAACCAGACTGTGTGTGGCCATTGGCTCTAAACTATTCACCAGAGCCTGATGAGCTTATCATTGGGTACACAGCTGAGGGCAACGACTGTCCCTCCCTCCCCCATATTCCATCAGTTGCCAAGAGTTCATCTGGGAGTGGTAAGGACCCTGAGACCTGCCTGGGGAGGAAAGCCAGGCCCAGAGAGAACACCACATGGACTCTCTCATGTGTGAACAATGGCTTTCCGTCTTCAACTTCAAAAGAGTTGTTGTAGTCAGGCAAGCAGAAAAAGAGTATTGAGGGGAGTTAATAGAACACAGGTAATATGAAGGTAAGGAGGGGAACTCGGGATGGAAAGGTTCAAGCAGGGATGGGGGTGGAGGATGGGAGAAACAAGGGGACAGGGACAGGCTAAGCACCTAGGGTGAAGAAAAACCACCCAGAGATCCATCGCTTCCTGAATGGTGACTCCTAATGCTGTATTCAAGATCACAGCAGCCTGTGTAGGCCAGCATCTTCTGAAGGCGCTGAAGGGACATTTCAGAATCCTTCATTTGTCCTCCTCTGGAGTAGGGAAGAGACGGAGCCATGCAGGCACCTGGGAGAGCAAAGGGCCTCACCTCCCATTGCTTGTGTCACAGAGGAGTGGAATGAGGACAGCAGTGCTGGAAGATGGGACAGTAGAGCAGGGTCTCACAGTCAGACCTCACTCACAAACTTCCAGATTCCTGGTAGGAGCTCAGGTTGCTATCTCAGATAGTTGCGGCACAACGACCCCAATCATAGTCCATCTAGCCTAGATATTCTCATGAAAACTCCAGAGATGTATTTAAGGGGGTGTGCTGCCCTGAAGAGACACCAACTTAAATACAGAGGGAAACTCTCCATAATTTAGAAGAGTCCTTCTGCAGTGTGAGCTGAGGAGGAAGGGGGGATTAATATCTGTGTCAAAGCTATTTGTACACAGCCCTGTGACATGTGCTTTCACAGTGAGGACTTTGAAAGCTCTCAGCAACTATATGAATTAGTCACTATTACTTCCCATTTTCTAAATGAGAAAACTGGGAATTCACAAGGCCAGGCATTGAGCCCAAGTCCACACCACGAGCTAGAGGTGGAACTGAACATGTTTTTTGCTCTTGGCCGTTGCGTTCAATGTACTAATTGCTAAATTATCTTGATTCTGCTTCTCAATCTTCAAATCACTCTCCTCGTGGCCAGCCTTATCTCCATGAGCCTAGGTCAGGCCTTCATTTTGTCTCAGCCACTACAGTGACTACCTAACTCTTCTCCCTATATGCCCCCTCCCCCCAGCCTGCCTCTAGCCCATCAGATCATCCTTCACCTTATCAGACTGTCTTGACAAACATCCTTTTTCTTTTTGGGGTCTCAATTTTGAATATCACCTCCTCTGTGAAGCCTGCCCTCCCTCCATGAGTGGTACTCCTCATATATAAGTCCTTAGTAACTAGTAAGTGGGTCTGGGCCTTTAAGAGTGTTTGTATTTTCACAGGAACTAAGCTTTTTGTGAATGAGAACCAAGTCTCCATTCATTCATTTATCTCTTGTTCTTATAGTGTTTTGCTCATAGCAGACAGTCAGTAAGAACTTATCCTGAATGAATGAACAGATAAATGAATGAGTGAAAAATTGAAACATATAGAATGAATAAATAAAACATTAAACAATAGTTGTCTTTGATGCAAGAATGACACTAATGAAAGAATCCTGAATCATTACCAGAACGCTAGGTTCTCTTGTAAACACAAAAGGAACAAGAAAAGTAATTATAGATTATACATGATATGTACATTTGAAATTTGAAGTAGAAAGTTAACTATTACCTTGAACTTGCAAAAAGTACACACATCTATGACACATTTTATTTTGCGATGCTTTGTAATCCTCAGAAGGTGATTGCAGACTGCTTCATTTGAACTCAACCAAAGGCAGGTGGGATGAGGTGGGGGAGACGTTTATGATCCCCTTTTCAGGAAAGGAAGCTAAGGGTCAGAACCTGCAGGGGTGGTGGTCCTTGTTAAGACAGGACCTCGTGCAGCCCAGGCAGCCCTCAAACTCATTATGCAGCTGACAATGACCTTGAATTTCTAGTCCTCTTGCCTCTACCTACGAAGTGCTGGCATGTGCTACCATGCCCGGTGTTATGTCATGCTGGAATTGAACCCAGGCCTTCATGCATGTCAGGAAGCACCCTTCCACCCCAGCTACAGCCTCAGCCCAGAACCCAAGAGCTCTGAGTGTAGAGACTTTTGCTCTCTGCAGGAAGCTTTTGTTTGTTTTTGTGTTTTTTTTTTTTTTCGAGACAGGGTTTTTCTGTAAGTCCTGGGTGTCCTGGAACTCACTCTGCAGACCAGGTTGGCCCCAAACTCAGAAATTTACCTGCCTCCTCTTCCCGAGTGCTGGGATTAAAGGCATGTGCACCACATCTGGCTTCTGTACCAGATATTGACCTTTCCAAGGAAAGTGCAAACACACTTTCTACTCTAGCTCTCACAGCCTTCTCACCCTTTCTGATAACCAACGATGGGATCCCAGGCATCTCAAGACAGAAGGCAGACCAGTTCTGTCAGAGTCAAGCATCCATATACTTGAATATTTCTCAGTCTCCTTGGTAAACACTTGACAGTAGGATACAGCCCCCCCAACCCCACGCAGATTCACCTTTCTGTTGGCTGTGGCCAGAGAGGGTGGGTGGGGAGATCACAGAACAAGTGAGAAATAGAACAAGACAGAGAGGTATAAGTTCAGATTGCAGTTTTGCCTACTTTTCCATAGAAGTCTCCCAGTGCTCCAAGTTCCTTGTCAACACACGCTGAATTACTATATTGCCTTTGTTGAAAATCTTTTGATGGTAGGCATAAGCAGTCTGCTCCCAGGAATGTTATTCTGCTTATTTCTCCTGATGTCTTCTGACCTATGGTATACTGCTACAGTAAGTCTTGAAACCTGGTGGTTTAACTTCTTCCATTTGCCTTTTTAAGAATGTGTTGTTCTACAATTTCTGTATATAAATATGAGTCTGCTTTTGAATTTCTACAAAAGACTCAGGCTGGTGGTGGTTTTAATTAGAATTACTCTGATCAATACAGAGAGAAATGACAGCTTTACAATACTGAAACATGTAACCCATGCACAGGATGAATTTACCCATTTATTTGGGTCTTTTAAGTTTCCCTTGACAATGGTTGAGCATAAAGATTTGCCATTCTTTGATTAGATTTACTCCTAGTAATTATATGGTTTTGCTGTTATGAAAAATGCTGTGATAGGTTTAAATTATTTCCTCCATTTTTTTATTCTACCTAAAGAAGTTTCACACTTCAGTGTGTCTCCATTTAAAAGCTCTTTGCAAAACCTCTGAGGTAACCTGGTGGTTTTCTCATCTTTTTTTAATATTATTTTTCTTAAGAAAGAGCCCCACGTTGGAAACATTCTAGACCCCATAAAACTTATACCCATCTTTTGTCTGACTGTAGTGTTCTTGGCCTCTTCTCCCAGAGTTCCAGGCTTCTTGTCCATAGAGTTTGGATAATGATATCTGCCTCCGTGGTGGGTTGAATAAGAAGTGTCCCCATAGGCTCATGTATTTGAATACTTGGTCCTAGTTGGTGATGCTGGTTGTGGAGGTTATGGACCCTTTAAGTAGTGAAGACTTGCTGGAGGAAATACACCACTAGGGCTGATTTGAGAGTACAAAGCCTTGCCCCACATCCAGTTCACTCTCTCTGCTTTATGTTTGTGGTTGAAGATGTTGTCAGTCAACTCCACGTTCTGGCTGCCATGCCTGCATGCTGCCATGCCTTCCTCGCCATTATAGACTCCCCCTCAGTGTCTATAAGCCAAAATAAACTCTTTGGCTTGGTTATGGTATTTTTATCACAGCCACAGAAAACAAAGTAGAATACACATCATTTGTTTTTATGACTGAGTAATATTCTGTTGCAATCAACAACATTTTGTCTAGCTGTCTACCTTTAGCTACTATGAATAGTGCTGCTGTGAACATGGACATGTGTGTTTTTTTTTTTGAGACACCTGCTTCTAGTTCTTTTCGTCAAATACTCAGGAATGAAACCTCAGATCATATGCTAGATTGTTGTTTAATTTCTTGAGGGAAACACCAAACTGTTGTCTTTCCTAGGAATATTTTGAGGATTCACTGAGCCAACATATTTGTAAAGCTTTTGGCATGATATCTGGCACATAGCAAGAATCCAATAAATCATTGCTTAAAAATATAATTCCATACAAGTTATCAGTAGTACAGTATATCTGTTGCAACATGTGTCATATGTTGGAGGGGACAATTGGTCTTCATGCCTCGGTGTTTGTATGAAGAGGTTTCTATTGGGAAACCACATCTCCTGCCCATCCTCTCACTTTTTCCTAGAAAAGAAAAAAAAAAGGTGTGCCTTAGTGTCTGGAAGATCAAATAAGACAAGCTCCTGTTAGTTCATCGCACCATTCCTTAGGCTCTGCATGGATATAGGGAGCACCTATTCTACTTCCCTGGACTGTAGCTGTCCATGCCATTAAGTCGAGTGTGTGTGTGTGTGTGTGTGTGTGTGTGTGTGTGTGTGTGTGTGAGAGAGAGAGAGAGAGAGAGAGAGAGAGAGAGAGAGAATATGCATGTATGTGAGAGCATACCACCCATCCTATTTTTTGAGACAGAGTCCTGGAGCTCCCCAAGTGGTTTAGGATACCAGGCTAGTGAGCTGAATGATCCACCTGCCTCTGCCTCCTCAGTGCTGGGATTACAAGCATGTGCCTTCATACCCAGCTTTTTTTTCCTTGAGGTGGGTTTTGAGCATCAAACTCATGTTTTCATGCCAGTGTTATAAGTACTTTATCTATTGAACTATTTCCCAGGTCCTTTGTCATATTACACAATTGATTCTCTCAACAATAAGGATGGGCACTCCTTCCCACCTCCACCCCCCCCCCCACAAAACCCACTGAATATATCTAGAAAAATCAGTAAGCTGCCTTCTAGTTACCAAGATCTACTTCAAATCTAAGTAGTTCAGGAAACAAACTGCAACTTGAGGTCAAATATGATGAGTAACTGTTTAGCTTTTTCTGAGTTTTTTTCTTTTGTTCTTGGGAGGGGAATGGCATTAAATATAACAGCTTTGAATGACTGTGGTGATGTTGCAGAAAACTTTGACAGCAAAAGTGCTGTGCGAGCCATTCTCCATCTCAGAGAGGCTTCCCTGCAGAGTCCCTGCATTCTTAGACTACCAGCCTCGAGATGGCATTTGTTTTCATTTTTGCACCTAGCAGAGCATAGCCTCACACTCATTCTTTTGTCTCCTGGGATGAATGTGGAATCCATAAGCAGTGCAATGGCTTCTCTTTAATTCTGTTTGATAAGCTTGTATTGGGCACCTGCTATGTGCCAGGCATCTGGCGGGGGGAGACCAAGGTAGGTAACCTTCAGTTTGGTGTGCGTGGTGTTTTTAGTGTGGTGCAAATCAAGGATGAGACTCCTGTAAATAAACAGAAGGCAGATTTTTAGCTGGTCTGGCTTTCAATGAGTTTCAGGCATTTGGGTTAGATGATTAAAATCTAATACATCTCACCAAAGGAAATTGGATTCAGAATTTTATTTCATTACTATTCCCACACTGGTTTTCCTCCCTTCTGTCAGCCCAAGTGCCTCTCTCCCTTTGGAAGATGGCATATTTTTATAGTTGCAAGCACATGCAACTAGTTTAGTAGTTTATTTCATATTTATGAAGCCACGGTTTAAGCAACTTAGTTATTTAGCTATGTCATACCTATTTTTCAGATAGCAGGCAACATCAGCCTAATGAATGAGCAATTAAGAAAAAAATAGAATTCGAAAATAAGAAACAAAAAACCCATTGTTTTTTTTATTTAATCTTGGATATACTCCTTGGAAATTCTTGCTCTCAAAGTCAGTTACCAGGATTCTGGATTGCACTTTCTGAATTTCCCTTAGGTAGAGTGGAAGGAGCAGGGAACAATGTGATCCAGAGAGTCTATGTCCAGGCACATCTCGATACGAATATCCCCTCGATGACAGGCATACAAGAGGCAGCTGCAGCAAAATGCCTGAGAACAGGCTGTAAAGCCAGACTGCTCAGCCTTGAATGCTGGCTCTTTTTCCTACTAGCTGTGTGTCCTTGGGTAAACAAGGTAACTTGGGTCCCTCATCTGTAAAATGAGAATAAATCCTGGGCTTGTTTCATTGGCTTGTTGTGGGGAATAAGAGAGATTAACACTTCCAGGGTGCTTGGACTGGTGTCTGGCACATGGTAAGGACTCTGGCACATAAATTGAAATATAGTCATGAAGGTAGAACACAGAAGAGGGATGACAACAGCTCTCAAAGGATACATGGAGAGGGGACTCAGGTGGAATGAAGTGAAATGAAAAAAGGGGCAAGATGAAGAGAACATCGCTAAGACAGAAAAGAACATAAGGCCAGTGCATGGCTGGGAGGGAGGCGGTAACCTAGAGACAGAGCATGGAAAGGACCAGTCCTCAGTGGTTCCTGTTCTGTGACCTTGGGCAGCTCATTTGATACTCCTGTGTGTCTCACTCCTCCTCCCCTCCAAACAAACTCAGGGACCCGGAGAACAGTAGCTAGACACCTGCCTAGCCACTGACCAGCTAACCGAGTAACCTTGCAATTCACACAATCCCTGAACCCCAGTCCACTAGTCCAGCAACATGCTAATCATTCATACCTTACAGGTCACTAGGGTGCACATGTTTAACTTGAGAGTTCTGAGGGTAACAGTTTGGGCTGACAAGACCTTCAAATTTACTTGCTATATTTTCACTTAGGTAAATGTCCTAGCCTAAACATTTTCTTCCTGCCTTTGTCCAACTGAAATTTTGAAATTAACTGTGAATCTCAGTCAACAGAGAGACTTCCTAGCCCCCCCCCCTCTGTGTGTGTCTCTCTGTGTCTCTGTATCTGTCTCTGTCTCTGTCTCTGTCTCTCCTCCCTGTGGGCTGACTTCTTAGTTAATTCTCTCCCTCTGGATAGCTGTAAAAGCAAAAACTACTGCCAGGACAGCTCTTATCAAAATATTTTAGCACTTCTGCATCTGGTCCTGGCCATAAAATAGAAGTGAAGAAACACTTATGTAAAGCTTTCAGAGCTGTGAAGAAAAAAGAGGGCTCTCATTTTATTGGCTGTGGTTCATATATCTCCAGGACAGCAAGGGGAAAAAAACTAAACTTAGAGATATAAACCAAAAAGACACTCAGTGAAAGAAAAAGATAAGACACACTCAGCAGCAACAAAAGAAACATGAGAGGCAAAGAATGAGTATTATTGGGTGAATGACATCACCCCTGGGCCATTCAGCTCCCTGAACCAAGAAAATCAATAGGCTGGGCCAGTAGGAGGAGTCACTGAGTCATATGCAAATAAGGTCCCCACTGGATCCTCCCTATCCTGCCAATTGTGCTGGCAACAGAATCTGGACCAGTGAGCCTCCCAGTTCTAAACTTCGTCCAATTTTATTCTACTGTCTGAGCTCCTCTCTCTCCTGGACGGCCCACCTATTCTCTCCTGCCTAGCTATTGGTCATTTAGCTCTTTATTAAACCAATCAGAAGGCACCTTAGGCAGAAGACACATCTTCAGAGTGCATAAATATCCCACAACACAAAACCAACCTGTAAATAAATAAAAACAGCCTTCCTCAAGATTACACAGGAAAAGGATGGTTATTATTTCATATTTACTGAATTCTTACCATGGTACAGATACTGGACTAGCACCTGGGGAATACAGGTAAATAAGACAGAGGCCCTGAAGTCAAGTTCACTGGGTGAGAGAGCCACACCTGTCATAGGAAGTTGTGAGGTCTAAGGGTGTGAAATACATATCCATGATTTTTAAATGGAGTGGGGTGTTTACTTTCCATGGGAGGTTAAAGAGACAAAAATTTAACATCGATGTTTCTCCTATCAATTCATTCCTATAATCTTTATGATATCTCTTATGATTGTCTTAAATCATATTATAGGTTAGGAGGCTTCGGCTCAATGAAATTAACCAGTTTGCTCCAAGTCACAAAAGGCTCGATCTAAGTCCAGTCTAAAGTCTTTGCTCTTCCTAGTGACCTTGCTATACTGACATAAGTCAGGATGAAGTGCATAGAGCTCATAGAAAACCCTGGGTGAAACCAAGGGCAATGCCACAGCAGAGACAAGTAGTAACTGAGAAAACAGGGAGGGGGTAGGAGAGAGGCAGGGGGTGGGGGAGTGAAGCTGCCTCTCCAGGGATAGTGTCAGCTAGTTGGTATGGCCTTGGTAGTTTCATCAGCCATGGTGGGGGTATTGGTAGAAGAAAAACTGGTAAACATTCTGAATCAGGGTTTCCCTAGAGAGCTATTAAATCAGCACACACCCAATGGCAAGGTCTAGGGAAACAGTTTGGATGCTTCTTGAAGTATTTACAATAGTAAATTTCTTTCTAAAGGGAACTGAATAGGAGGGAAGCTAATGTCTCAAGTCCTGCATATTCCTTGCACCCTTGTGCTTGTAGTCTAATGGCTAAAGATGCATGCTGTCTGGAGACCCTGGTAGGGAACTTTTGTTGCCTTTTGCTTGCTGTCTTTTGTATGCTGGGGAAGGCTGAGTAACAACCAGAAGAAACAGGGAAGAGTTAAGTGGATCAACCCAAAAGACATTTGAGATATTTGTACACTATGGAGCTGTGTCTCTGCCTAAGGTGCTTTCTGAATGGTTTAATAAAGAGCCGAATGGCCAATAGGTAGGCAGGAGAGAAGAGGAAGGACTTCTGGGGAAATAGAGAAACTCAGGAAGAATATGAGATGCAAGTGATCAAGTCATTGAGACACAGAGAAATCAACTTACAGTATGGAGGAGAGGTAATGGGCCATGTGGAAGAATGTAGATTAATATAAATGGGTTAATTTTACTTGTAACAGCTAGTTTTGAACAAACCTAAACTAAGGCCAAGCTTTCATAGTTAACAATAAATCTCTGTGTCATTATTTGAGGGCTAGTGGCCCAAAGAAAGTCCAATGAGAAAGCTTGCTAGAGCTTTGCTTTGCTTTTTGTGACCCACTGAGCTTAGAGTTGCTTAGATGGGAGGTTGTTTACAGGCACATGGGTATCATCAGTGGCTACAGCACTGAAGAAAATGAACACCCCTTCCCCAGCAACCCTTAACTGCCAGTCAAGCAGTAGATTTTAAAGGAGCTGTAAATGAGATGCACAGGTTACATGAGAAAGCAACACAAGGATTCGGCATCAGGGTTGTTATCTATCAAAGCTGATATCTTTTGAGGGAAATCCGAAGTCTCTGTAAAGCCTCAGGCAGTCTGGTTCCATGCACCTGCCTCCTCTATGCTCTAACGCCCTCTTCATTCCCTCCAGCCACACCTGTTCTTCCTGTTGGCAGATGGGGCCACTCATTCCGTCTCTCTGCTTTCAACTGTGGTCCTCTCTGCCAGAATGATCAATCCCTAGACATTCCCACCATTGGTTTCTGCTCAAAAGTCATCTCAAATGTCACCTTTCAGAAAGACATCCCTTATGTCCTCCGTGTAAACTAGCCTCTGCTGCTCCCTGAGCATCTTCAGGGCACTTTTCCTATGGCGTCAGCTGTGCTTTCTGACTGACTTGTTCCCGTGTTAGTGACTCTATCCTAAACGATAAGCTCAATTGGAGCAGGAACCATGTCTGCCCTACTCACAGAGGTCTTCCTATTCCTGAGCAGACTGACTCACACAGAGCAGGGTTTGACACATGCCTGGGGGCTGAATGTGGTGTGTATTTATGCTGCTGGAGAGATCAAGGCTTTAATGTAATATTAATTCAATATCCTTGATATGTCCCTCCATCTTCTCTCATTTTTGCTGTTTTAAGCTGCTCCAAAGTAAATAATGATTATCTTCTGGATAAGTCTAATACTATTTGACTCATTTTGTCTTGGTATTTATGGCCAACTACTACTCCATTTCCCTTTTCCTTTTCTTTTTTTTTTTTTTGTTTGTTTTTTGAGACAGGGTTTCTCTGTATTGTTTTGGAGGCTGGCCTTGAACTCACAGAGATCTGCCTGCCTCTGCCTCCTGAGTGCTGGTATTAAAGGCGTGTGCCACCAACACCCGGCTTCCATTTCCCTTTTTCTAAGTTAAAGGTCAACAATTCCAGAATCTTTCCCTTCCCCTCACTTCCTCCTCTGCTATTCCTTTTTTCTCATTTGCTAGTCCTACCTCTTCTCACATATCCTGGGCATCTACCAAGACTGTTGTTTTATTTGTATATTTGTCAAGAATTTGTGAACACAGATTACTCTCAAAGAAACTTCTAGAAGCTAAAAGGTACAAGAAAATGAGATCATAATTAACAGAATAGGAATCAGAAACTGCCAGTGACAGTGACACAAGCCTGCCATGATCTGTGTTCTGTCGAGTATGTCAACTTGATCCAAATTAGAGTCATTTGGGAAGAAGGAACCTCAGCTGAGAAAATGCCCCCTCTAGACTGACCTGTGAGTAAGCCTGTGGAGCATGTTCTTGAATGATGATTGATGTGGGAGGGTCTGGCCCCTCTCTGTGCAGTGCAGTCCCTCCCTGTGCTGGTGGTTCTGGGTGTCACAGGAAAGCAGTGTGAGCAAGGTATGAGGTGCAAACAACATTCCTCCTTGGCTTCTGCTTCAGTGCCTGCTTTGAATTCCTGCCCTGACTGCCCTCCATGATAGAATGTGACCTGAGAGTTGTGAGCGCAAATGAATCCTTTCTTTCCCCAAGTCGCCTTTGGTGTTGGTGTTTATGACAGAAAGCAAACTACGACAGAAATAGGCAGAGATTTAGGAGTATTGCAAGAAAGTTATTAATCTATTCACAAAATCTGACATCATAAGACATGACTTAATGCAAAGTGGAAGATCAAAGATGAATATTTATGTCTAAAGTTCTTCATTACTTCTCACTCATAATAATAAACCATTTGTGAGAGAGTGGGAAAACTAGTATTCAATAAAAGGGCAATAAGATGCTCAGAAAATTCATGGTTAAAGTATTTAATGTGTGGGAAAATAATAATACATTGCTGAGTGAAAAATGGAGGCTATAGAAAATTTAAATACTCTACAAACGGAGTGTTTTTTTTTTTAATGTGGGTGATTTCTAATCATGCTATTAGATGTTTGTATAGCTTTAAGTATTTTCCAAACTGTTTATAATAAGCAAGTATATAAATTTGTGTGTGTGGTGTACATGCATATATACATTTGTTTGTTTGTTTTGTGTGTGTGTGTTTGCATGCATGTAGAGGGAAGAGGTCAATATAGGATATCTTCCTTATCACTTTCCTCCTTAGTTTTTGAGATAGGATCTGTGAAAGATAATGCCCCCCCAAAGGGAGTTGCACTATTAGGTGTGCCCTTGTTGGAGTAAGTGTGGCCTTTTTGGAGGAAGTGTGTCACTGTGGAGGCAGACTTTGGGGTCTCAAATATGCGCAAGTCACGCCCAGTGAGTTAGATCACTTCTCGTTGTCTGCAATTCAAGATGTAGGAATCTCAGCTCTGTCTCCAGCACCATGTCTGCCTGCACGCCACCATGTTACATGATGGTAGTAACGGACTAAATGTCTGAAAATGTAAGCCACCCCAATTAAATCTTTTTCCTTCAAAAGCATTGCTGTAGTCATGGTGTGTCTTCACAGCAATAGAAAACCTAAGACAGGATCTCTCACTAAACTTGGATCTCACTAACTGGTCAGGGAGCTCCAGGGTTCTGCCTGTTTCTGCCCTGATTATAGGCACACTCTGCTACATAAGCTTTTTATGTGGGTACTCGGGACCCAGACTCAAGTCCTAATACTTCGGAAACAAGCATTTTACCTACTGAGATATCTCTCCAGCCCAAGCAAGTTTGATTTCATCACAGTAGTTTCTCAAAAGAACATATGACCTCTTTATTGTAAGCATCTTAAGTATTTCTTGGCACATATGGTATATTTCACATTGTAATTTTCACTTGCAAGAACTGTTGGTTTTCTTTTTGAAAAGATATATACATATATACGGTTCCGTAGAACTATACCTACCTCAGAGGCCAGGGGTCACAGTCCCCATGCAGTCAGGAGCAGTGGCTGCAACTACGCTGCAGAGTTGTCTATCTGCAGTCTGAGGGGGAAGGAGGCAGGAGTGACAATCCGGAAGGCACAGCAGTATTTAATTAGAGCAGGAGATTGTCAATAGTGGTTCCCGAGTTTTACAGGCAAACCTCAGGATGAGAAAACAGCTGAAATTACCAAAGATAGGATGGACGTTTAGTAGTTACGATGAGCTGATACGAAGAAAATGAGATGCTGATCTATGGGCTAAAATACATAATTCAATTAACAGAGATAATCAGTAAATCTTTAGCCCACTAATGAAATAAAATACAAATCACCTAGTCAGCGCAACCCAAGGTTTATAAGCTATGAGGATAATGCAAAGGAGTAAAGAACAGAAGCTAAGTTAATTGTCCATTTCCATCTTTATTAATTAGGGAACTATGTGGCAATCATGTAAATCGAAGGGAACTGTATTTTATTTGGTGGAAAAATAGATGCTAACCTTTCAGACATGGTTTTTTTTTTGTATCATGTTATCTTTAGGTAGGCAGAATCTCTTGGGTTTGGTGTTGTGGGTTAGGTTAGTCTTGATTGTAAACTTATAAGGGTTCTGTTGCTTAAGAAGACATATCTTTGGGTGTGTCCATGAGGGAGTTTCCAGTAGGTGTGACTAAACTGATAAGATCCACCTTGAACATGGGTGTCACCTGTCTAAGGACTGGGTCCGGGACTAAATAAAGGACAGACAATGAACAGTGTGACCCACTGCCTCATGCTCCTGGGGCTGTCCCTTCCCTGCCATGATGGATTGTACCCTCACAGCAGGAGACAATATAAACCTAAGTTGTTTTCGTTAAGTATTTTGTCCAGGCAGCAAATACAGTAACCAATACAACAGTGACATAGGGTTTTCACAAGTGTCTTTCTTACTCTCTTATTGAAGCTGATTCAGAATAAAACTGTAGTTACTATATATATATATATACATATATATATATATATTCCTGGATTCCAATTTTTGTTAATAAAACAGGTTTGTTGATCTTATTAGTAAGCTTTCTAGTAAATGTGATATATTTCAGCTAATACGCTTACTCAAGTGGTTTTTTTTTTGCTTATTTTTTATTTTGTTTTGTTTTGTTTTTTGGACAGAGTCTCACTATGCAACTTTGGCTGACTTTGAACTCACAGAGATCCATTTTCTTCTGCTGCCTGCATGATGGGTCTAGAGGCATATAGTACCACACCTTGCCCCAAAGTGTCTTAAAATTGCTTTATTTCAACATTAGATTTTGTTGGGGGAAATACGGTTTTACTGTTTAAGCAAGCACAAAGTTTATGCTAGAGGAGCCCCAAAGTTGTTCCCAGTATCAGACACACACCACCCTCAAGCAGTATTTCACCCAGTCCTTTCCTGAAGCAGCGTGTCACCTTGAAAGAACACTCTTGAAGAACCAGGGCCCATTCTCCCAAACTACTTTTCACTTTTGAAAAACCATTCAGAGGATCTAATGGCCTCTTTGCACTTTAAAAACTGCCCCAGGAGGGAAGACATTTGCACTGTATCATTAAATGAACAAAGCAAGCAAGCCACAGGGAAGTATGGATGTGTCCAGCCTATCTTAGGAAAATGCGTAACTGAGTCTTGATAGAAAAGGTGTGGGTTGTGTTACTTTTATAAAACAGCAGGCCGGACTGGAAGTACTCTGCCTATTTCAACTCATACTTTACCCATGATCAACCTGGGAGGAGGATAATACCATTGTCATCTTTATGTTACAGCTGGGAGCATTGATGCACGGCCTTGAATTATGAACACACAGAGAATGTTTTGGAAGTGTGTCCTGAAAGTTATGAAGCCACAAGAAACAGTGCCAAAGAGAACTTACATTATTTATTTAATTACTAATTAAATTATTTGAGTCAAGGTCTCACTATGTAGTACTGTTTGGCTTGGAACTTGGTAAGTAGACGAGATTGATCTTGAATGAACAGAAATATGCCTGCCTATGCCTCTTGAGCCCTGGGATTAAAGGCATGGGCCATCATGGCCGGGTCTGGATTTATACTATTTATGTAACAAAGTTAAAGGGAAGCACTTGTTTTCTCCCATTATCATCAGAAGCCTAAGAGTAGTGAGCTGGGGAAGGAGATGGTGATCTGCTAGAATTTGGGAGAGTTCGCCTGCTCTGCAGAACGTGAAATGGTTAGCAGGAAGAAGTGGTTACATCAAAATGTCCTTGGTAAGAAACCATCTATCAGTCTGCTCTACTAGGCTAGGAACACAGTCAACACCAAGCCCCAGATAAGCCAGGCTTCATGAGAATCAGATCTGATCTCACACATGTTCCACTGCACTGTTTATTTTTTATTTGTATTACTGATCTATGTCACTGTTTACTTTTCCCAGGGAGGTTATAAACTCTTGGACAGCAGTGATGCTTTGGGAAGTAGCGCATTCTTCCCATGATGCATAAATGCAGAAAGTGTTTGGAAAATGGGAGTTGAATGGAAAGGAATCAAATAAACATGTCATGGTAGATCTGGGCAATGTGGAGTATTTACTTTCTGTTCTAGACCAGGGAGAGGAGCACACTGAAGAGGAAGCCCATCATTTCAAGGGTGCAGAGTCCTCCCTGCAGGTAGAGCGGGGAAGGGCTGGTCCAGCACGTCTCTTCCCAGGGGCTGAGTGGGATGGTGAGTGTCCACAACTCAGACCCTCCCCCCACTAGTTACAGAGGAGAAGAAACACACACTGAGTTGGGTGTCTATCGAAGCAGGATCTGGATTTATTCCAACAAGCAGGAACTTATATAGAACTGAGGTAGGGGATGGGAATCTTAGGATAGGGTGAGGTGACCTGAGAAGTTAAGGACCAATAGCATTCCACCAAGCAGGCAGGTAGCTAGGCAGGGGGCAATCTTGCATCAGGTCTGCCTGAGTCACCCCCCACGTGAAGGGTTAGAGGTTAGAGGCAGGTCGCCAAACTCTAGCCAGGCTCGGGAGCTTACACTGGGCCTCAAATCCGAGCCTTTCTTAGGCCCAACACAAGAGAGTATTTTATACAAAACAGATGAGTTAGGTACATGTTCTAAAACACAACGAAAAGCCCAATTATGTCCAGTCACACTGTGATGCTGTGAACTGCTGTAGAGATTCTAATCTGTACTGTAAAGGTTGAATCCACTGGCTCATGTTCAACAAAGGATGGAAGAATCCTCCCTTCTTTCTCCTTCTGTTTCCTTTTCTCTTCCCCTCCTCTTCTCCCACCCTTTTGTATGACTCAGTCCTATCTTCTTTATATAGAGCAAAGCAAGACACACCTGTGTTCAGGTGGGTAGCCAGGTTTGAGACAGTGGAACCTTTTCCATTGCTGTGACAGAATACTTGATGACAGAAGGCTTATCTGGGTTTACAGTTGGGGGTACAATCTGTTATGGTGGGGAAACCACCCCATTGTTAGTATTTAGGTATTTGTGCTGGCCTGCCCATGGGGTCCTAACAGGATTCACTCTTAGCCGCTGCCACTAAGAGCATCACCTGTGCTTATTCACTATGTTCCCTCTTAAAAGCCTCTTGTCCACCTCCCATTCCTCTCTCTCTCTCTTTCTCTCCCTCACTGTCTGTCTGTTCTCTCCCCATCTGCCCCCCTCTCTCTGCCTCTTTCCTGTCTCTCTCTGTTCCTGTCCTCAAGGCCAGCCCTCCCTTTCCCCTTTTTATGATCCCTTTCCCTAATTAAAAGAACCCTCCACTTGAACTCTGTTACATGGTGTCTTTCTCAAGCTGCTTTTTAAAAATTACGACACCCATGATGGAAAGATCGGGAGAAGAGGGTTATACTGCTCTGCAGTTAAGAAGCAGAGAGAGAGGAATGCTGGTGCTCAGCTCACTATTCCCTTTTCATTCAGTCCAGGACCCCAGTCCATTGGATGGTGCCGCCCACACTTAGGCTGGGTCTTCTCGCCTTGATTGACCTAATCTAGATAACTCCTCACAGGCATGCTCAGAGACTTGTTTTTATGGTGATTCTATATTCTATCATGTTGACAGCCAGGATTAACTATCTCAGAAACCAAACAGAATAAAGAATGTATTGAGGAAAGGGGACAGTAGAGGTGATGGGAGATTGGCTGTATAGAGGGAATTGATCTAGTAAATAAATTCACTGAAAATAATGGAAGCTAAGTTTCTCGTTGATGTAGAAGAGAGAAATAAACTAATAAAGAGATGTTAGTGTGAACAGTGCGGTATTTAATTGATATTGGTGTTGCTGGTGGTTCTTGTCCCACCAAGTCCTGCCAAACTTCAGCCCCAAATAAACACGCAGATGCTATATTAGTTATAAGACTGTTGGCCGATATCTAGGGCTTCTTATTGGCTAGCTCTCTCTTAATTATTACCCCATAACTACTAATCTATGTATTTCTACACAGCCTTATCTTACCAAAGAATGAATGGTACAACCTATCCTCCTGGTCCCTCTATGGTGTCTGACTCTCTACCTACCTTTCCCAGAATTCTCCTCTTCTCCTAGCCCTGCCTACCTTCCTGCCTCATTGGTCAATAGTGTCTTATTCATCAACCAATAAGAGAAACATATATACAGAAGGACATCCCCTGTCATACTGGGACTCAGGGATTTAAGTAAATATACCCAGATAAGGAAATAAATATTTCTATATATCTATGTGGTCATACATTTGTATAGACATATAGTCCTTACCAACTTTTCTAACTTCATTATATTTTCAACTATAAATTCTACTAGTTTTTAAACTCATAACTTTTTAATTTATTTGGTGTGTGTGTGTGTGTGTGTATGTGTGTGTGTGTGTGTGTGTGTGTGTGTGTAGAAAGAGAAGGGGCAGCATGTTTTTTTTTATCAACTTGCCAGCCAATTTCCTTAACACTATTTATTGAATAATTCATCTCTTCCCATTGATCTGAGACACTTTCATTATCATATATTACACTGACTGAAAATGTATTAGAAAAGCAACCTTGATGCTTAATGATGTAGCAATGCTGACACATCTCTGTTTCTTATGCTCTGATATCTTGAACATCAGGGACCAGCTTCACATTTGTGTGGGTGTCTGCCTGCGTGTGTGCGTGTGTGCATGTGTGCATGTGTGTGTGAGTGTGTGTGTGTGTGTGCAGAAATCCTCTGTCTTATTTTCTT